TCCATATTGTTTTTATTTGTTATGCTTATAATTTTAGGTCCATAGGCAAGACCAACCACGTACGTCCGCTATAACAATGATACCCACGTGATCGGATAAGCGAAAGTGCTGTGATCCGAGTGGTGACAAGTGCAAGTTTCTTAACAGCACTTGAGTGTGCTTGTTATACACATGTAACACACGTCTTGAACCTCACACTGCCGCTTCCTGATGGACAGGTGGGAAGCGTTGTTTTCACATCTCCCATCAATCACTTTCCACTCGCACTAACCTTTAAGCGTGTGCAGAGACGCGCAATTGACACAAAAACACAATGCAACACGAGAACAGACCAGTTAAGAAATCTTACCTTCAATCAAACGTGTCTTCTGTGGGTGATTATATGACAGGTTAGCTCATTTAGGCAGCAGCATCAGTTCCATTCATTTGGCCGACGATCTGAGAGGTGAAGGCATCTGGAGTGGCAAAAAACAAGAAATTCTCCCCCCGAAGTAGACTCTTTCCGCCAAAATAACCTGGTGTTTACTCATTAAATTTGCTCCACATAACAGCGACTGTTGGTGTTGTTTACCGCTAGCCTGGCGGTCAGAGGCGGACAGCAGCTGCTCCCAAACAAGCGACTTGACTCTGCACTCAGGCTCCACCCACTGCCGGGGTATCACGGACTGAAATCTCGCGAGACTACAGCATTCGCTCCTTTTTGAATATATTTTTTTTTAATACAAAAAAATATATATTACCTCTACAAGCTGCAGTTTTTGCTCCAGAAAACTAACTTATTTTTTCGTTGTAGATTACCACTAGACGTATAAAAAGGGAATTCATGCATATGTTTTTTTTTCTTCTTCTTCTTTACTTACAGTCTATTTTTGCGGCCATCCAGGTTTTGGAAAAGTAAATAAATATTAAATAAATATTGTAAAATGTAACCTGGCTTACATGCAATTGTATTTAATATTTTGCCTATTAATTTCCACAAATTCATCTCAGTTCTGTCATGTATTTTCATCCTGGGAAACTTACTGGGCAACAATTACCAAGCAACCATGTAATAAACTGGTCCCGAGACAAAGAAAAAACAATCATATACTCGGGTTTAGTGCAGTAAATTATTGAAGCGTAAAACGTAAAAAATGTATTGGTAAAAACACAGACGCTTCTTAAAAATTATATCAAACTGTATTGTGGATTGCAAATCTTCCTTCCTTGATGCCATCAGTTGAACATTGACCTGCTTCCTGTTAATGTAAAAACGTTTTTTCACACCACTTTTTTATCATAAACTGTGCCTTCATAAGAATCAACATTTGCGTACAATACATACTTTAGGAAAAAAACAAGAGCAACATTATGGGGAAGTGCTTTAAGCTCTTTAAGCATGAAGCGAAGGATCTATTTAAGGAATAGAAACTGTGCATCTTGGTGGAGCTCTGTGCTCTAGACGTGTATTTATAGCTTCTAGCTTCACTAAAAAAGTCAAAATATGGTACTTACTGTGATTTTATTTTATTATTGTACTGTGACAGAGAGAGGGGTAGTTCATTATTAGATAATTTGCTGATGCCAAAATTAAATATAACCTCTGTTCTTTAATGGCGAATATTGTGCAACACTGCCATCTGCTGTTTGTAATATACTTTTTTACAAAGTTCCCATCTGATTTGTATCGCCTCTATTCAATGTATTACGTATGTACCCAGATAGCAAAATGGTTGTGGTCCAGATGTGGCCCACATCTGCTTGCTATCTGGGTATACACTGAATAGTATGTCCACATGTATAAAGTTGTCCTCATCATGGTTAAATACTGAGGCAGATGCTTTATATCGGTCTACGTACACAATATAGTAGAGAAACATAAAGCCTATTTGAGCATTGATCTTTGGGAATGTTCACCAAAATAAGTCGGTTGGTGAACAACTGAATTATTTTGATGATAATTTAGCCTAAATGGTCCCCGTTTTATAAGTTGAGATCCAGACAATTATTCTGAGACTATATATTGTTACCCTTTAGATGGCGCTGCACACCATTCCATGAGATCTATGACTTTCAGGTGAACAGAACTTGCATGTATTTTTGTTTGTTCTCAATTCTGTAATGTAGTCCAATTTTCTGTTATGGCTTATAGAAGTATACGCAACTTCTCACCATGATACACATGTACACTATCGCTTGCTGTAGGAAGCGTGTACCCTGTCAACACGCTAATTCTCTGTAAACATTGCCCCTGGTTTGGACCTGTATTTTAAGAAGTGATTTTTGAGTGCATTTTGGTTTAATTGATCCCCTTGGATGTTCTCATTCAAGAGACAGTTTGACGTCAGAGCTCAATGCGGTCGGTGATGCTCTGGTGGTGCGTTCATGAAAACTGCGGAATTGCTAGAAAGTAAATGGAAAATAATAGAATGAGTGTGAGGCACCTCTTTATTATAGTGCATAACAAAGTTAAAGAAGCAGCATTAATCAACCATGTAAAAGCATGCCCTTGGACAGATTCCCAGTGGTTGAGAATAATTAAAGACGGGATTCAACCCTCAACCTTTGTTAACTCCTGAACGTTGTAAATACTGCAACAAGTTTAGATCCAGCTATAAATCATATACGTTATTCATAACTACTACATATAAGCCCACTCGTTAATCATCCTTCAAACTAAGTCAAGGTATTTTACTTCCCAAAGAACCATTCCAATTATCCCTAGCCCTGACTAATACCGTTCACAAACTTATATTATATATGATACCTTAGTGCTATATTACCAAGCATACCAAGGATACTTTTTATATAAAGTGTTAGCAACCTCTTATACCATTTCCCATTGATAATTAGTCTCTCAATTCTGCTGATTGTAGTGGCGGCTGAATGTGTAGAGCAATTTCCGCCTGGTGGGCTGGTCCCTGATGCGGCACGGTTCAGGGCTGGGGCTGGGAGGAGGATACAGCGATTCCGATTAGGTTTTGCCGCTGCCAACGATGCAATGTCTCGTTTTACGGATGAGCCGCGGGCATAGGCACCTTTTGAATGCTCCGATCAGCCCAGCAAGACCCCACCACGCTGTGTTTTATACGGATTTACCACTAGACCAAAAGGATCGCTACCAGACCACGTAAAGTGCCCACACTTCAGGCTGAATGTTTACCGACGTGAGGCGACTGGAGAGGTGAGCCTCGCGAGCCGTAGTAACTTTAGCCTGCTACATGCTAACTGCTAACTCCTGCTAATACTGGGATTTGTATACAACATTAGCTTCAGCGCAAGCGAAAACATATGCCAGTCGAGTGAATTTTAGCTCATAATAATGCAGTTATGACTGTTTGTAAGTCTTAAAATAAATCCTGCTGTCCTGCACAACACTGATGTTAACTAATCAATGAACAACGAAGGCTAACTAGTTACATCCTGGCAACGTCAAGCTAACAGTTGATGTTGAGAGACCATTTGTTGTTTACTAATGCACTGGTCTTTTCAATTCTTATGCATTGAGATGGTTATAATCATCTGTACGTTCATGAGTTTTGGTGTGCTTTAGCCGAGGAGAACGTGTCACAGAGTATTGTAATATTAATGCTTTAGTGCAGCTGCAGATCCTGTCAAAACAAGCCTACCGCCCCCTACCCCATTGACTCTCCTTTGGTCTGGGTTTACGGATTACCGGGATTTTATGAATGACATTAAAATTTAATCTGATGGAAAACAAAGGGGTGGTTATATTTAACCGCTAGATCCAAAGATATTTTTATAAGTACCGGGTTGTTGTCATTTCCTGCTGAGTGGATAGCACTCTCGCCTCTCAGCAAGAAGGTCCTGGGTTCGAATCCCGGTCGGACCAGGGCCTTTCTGAGTAGAGTTTGCATGTTCTCCCCGTGTCTGCGTAGGTTTCCTCCGGGTACTCCGGTTTCCCCTACCACTAAAAATATGTCCAATAGTTCTGGCATGCGCCTCCTGTACTGGCCCCGCTCCCATCTCTGTGTGGAGTGAGAGACAATTAAAATTAACAATTGTAAACCGCTTTGAGACTCAGATCTGCAGTGAAAAGGCGGTATATAAATAAAGATTACTACTACTACTACTGCTGTGCACCATGTAAAAGATGGTGTGAAATAGTCCATATTTCCCTAGTAGCAGCCAATGCAGTATTATTTACCACGGATTATATATATCAGATATTTCTGTCTAGTAATTGTTGTGTTATTCTACATTGAAAGTTAGAGTATCTGATTTTGAACATGTGAAAAGAGGAACTAGTTCTATCAAAATCGATGTAACCTTTTCTCCTTGTATCTCAATGATTAAAACTACACAACATACGACTATTTTTGCCTCTATTAAATGTTTAGAACCTTTTCAGAAAGAGCACTCCTCCGAAATAACAACTAATATAAAAGCTTTGGGTATTCCTTTTAAGTCTACATAAAACGCTTTGTAATTGGATTAAGATATTGTGTATTTCTCTATATTCTGGCTCAAAACAGAAAAAAACCTAAAACTTAAAGGTCTGGCTGCTGGTAGCCAATATAGAGAGTTCTATAGTTGTAAAGCCTGTTGTTGTAGAGTTGTAATGAATCTGAATCTGAGCTATTTGTCTCCTTTCAATTTGAATGTTGGACTAATTTGATTTAAATTTTTACTTCCAGTATGAATACATTGGTTATACATGAGTGGGAATCTAGCATTGAAGTGAATAGAGTAGACGCAGATGTTTCAGACACACGTCAGCTGGTTTAGCCATTTAGTGGGAGGGTGTTTGTAGTGATTTAAGGCACAGAACGTATTTCTGAGACAGCACAGGATGCATTAGATATGGTGGTTGCATCTATTGCTCATATCCACTGTTTTGGTCCACCCTGGTAATAGTCGATGTTTTCAACTCTCTTCCAGGAAGCTATGGCCATGGGTCGTTCATTTAGGATACGATGAACACCATTAAGCTGGATCCCAAAGACCGAACCAGTGCGCCCTTGGCTTCCAAGGGGCCTTCTCTCTCCCCATCCCCAACCATGGCAGGCTTCAAGCGGGGCTATGATGGCAAGATCGCTGGGCTTTATGACCTCGACAAGACGCTTGGAAGGGGGCATTTTGCTGTGGTGAAACTAGCCCGCCATGTCTTCACTGGGGAGAAGGTAGCTGTGAAGGTGATTGACAAGACTAAATTGGACACAGTAGCTACAGGACACCTCTTCCAGGAGGTGAGATGTATGAAGCTAGTCCAACACCCCAATATCGTTCGTCTTTATGAAGTTATAGACACCCAGACAAAGCTTTACCTCATTTTGGAGCTTGGAGATGGAGGAGATATGTTTGACTATATCATGAAACACGAAGAAGGTCTCACAGAAGAACTTGCAAAAAAATACTTTGCCCAGATAGTGCATGCGATATCCTACTGCCACAGACTACATGTAGTACACAGAGACCTCAAACCAGAAAATGTAGTCTTCTTTGAAAAGCAAGGATTGGTAAAGCTCACCGACTTTGGATTTAGTAACAAGTTTCAGCCTGGGAAAAAGTTGACGACGAGCTGTGGATCATTGGCTTATTCAGCACCGGAAATTCTACTGGGAGATGAGTATGATGCCCCAGCAGTAGGTATGTACATTTAAAGGATTTTTTTAGAGTTAAAGTTTCCTGCTATGTTCTTTTATTTGGTGCTGGATACTGTTGAAATGGTACAATTATTGATAAAAAAAAAAAACTAATTCGAAACCAAAACTAGAAAGGAAAAAAATATTCAATATAAGGTTCGTAGAAGGTTATAGGGAAGATTGTTTCTTATTGTGATTCCCACAACAAAATAAACCAAAAAAGAACATGCACTGGTACGGTTGAGTGAGGGGGATTGGAGCCCAATAAGCACTTGCTTTGTTCAACCCCTTTTCAACTGTACTTTAGTATCGTGTTTGTTTTTTATGTTATGTTGTATAAAAATATAAGTTTGAAGTATATACTTACCATACCATTGTTGAAGTACTGCTACCAACATTTTTTTTAACAGTCCCCAGCCCAAGTTGTGCTTTATTTGGATTCCATGAAAATGTATATAAAGCTTTAACAGGATAATTTTATGATATTTGTGGTGGAGTGTCTTTCATGATTGTGTTCAATGCTGAAATGATTTGTCTTCATTCTCCCCTGGCCAATATAGCACATTGACACTTGAACATTTGCCACATCAATATTACTGCAGTGCCCATAGGAAGTATGTATTGTTTTTTACAATAATACATTCACACATACTTTATTTTAGGGGTGTATGTATGAAAATTTAACCTCACGGTTATTGTGACCAACATTATCACGGTTTTCGGTATTATGTTCAGCGAATATTTTCAGAGAGCATTGATAGTCCTACACAAACTAAAATAGTTTCCAAGAAGTGAACAGTGTGACCTGCAAGTAACATTTGGTTGAAAACATTCATGTAGTGAATGTCAACTAAAATGGTTAAAACAAACAAAGTGCAAAGTGCATGGTATTGTTGTGCCTTCACCTAGCGCTCAATAATCCAGTGTCTTCATTTCCACCGTCTCATCTATTACTGTTTAGCTTAGCATTTTAGCTGTTAATAGGCAGTGGCTGCACTTTTACGTGAACATTTTTGACAGACGGATAATCAGACAAATTGTTGCATTCTCTCTCAACCAAAGACCCCCCGGCCCCCCACATCATCTATTTCAGCTAAAACCTTGTCGTTATCTAACCTAGCATTGGCTATAGAGTTGTGGGTCATGATCACGCAGATAAGCCGTCGCGGAAACTTATTTCCTGCACGTTCTTTAAAAACCCAAAATATGCCCACACTTCAGACTTTGTACTCTTTGAGGGCTGTTGTCTTCTCCTTCGATCATGATTCCTGCATGAAAGTGCACCCGTGCGGCAACTTCAGCAGACTCAGTGACGACCCAGGAAGACTCACGGTGCCGTGATAATATCCTTTTTTATTTTTTTTAATTAAGACAGTACTTGTTATAGTCACTTTTTTTTACCGAGATTTCCCGTTATACCTTGTTATACATCTTTACTCTATTTAACTCAAACAAAACAACACGTCAAGAAATACTATTTTAAATTTGTCCTCAGCACTGTTCTTCATGTTGTTAATACACTCCTTGGCATGGTGTGTATACTGTGGACTGTTCCAAATAGGAAATGACAATAAAAGTCAATACATTGTCGACTTATGTATTGACAATGTATTGTTTCCCTGAAAATTTGATAATCATTGCTGACATCCCTGATAAACTGAACAGCTGATGCTAATGGCGCTTACGTGTGCTAGCTTTGTTTTGCTAAAATGTTGCCTAATCATGAAGATGCATCCTTGGGAAGTACCCAAGTTATTTTGTCTCTATCTACCTTTTCCCATCTTGTTACCTACGGTTCTCATACCAGCCTACCATGCTGAAGCCGGAGCAGAATATTTACAGACCTGCCTTGCATTATAGGTTGATGTTAGTACATTTTTCACCCAAAAGTTGGAGACTTGGCTTTGGCATTGAGTGAGGGTGTTTGATTTACGGTGAAAACTGGCTGTCAGGTTTGTTTGCAGCAGTATTGGCTATAAAACATATTTTTGGAGTTTGGGGATTATACTCTGTCCTTTTTTTTTTTTTTTTTTTACAGATTTTAGCATAGGACCCTTGTTCCATCCTCTGAAGCTGTGCCTTCTTGTTTTTAGATCTTGTCAAAAGCCTTCCACTACACTAACTACATCTTTCTTTGCTTTGCCATTGCTGTTTTGATAAGATGCGTTTAGGCCCTTACATAGAAGATCAGTGCTGTTACTTGTCTCCCTGATGGGCTCCCAGGGATGTCCTGTGGCTCTAAATATACGGTTCCATTGATTTTGTGTGAAGTGGACACTGTGAAGCAACAGCACATGCAACACTGTCCATGTGCTGTTGTATCATAGTGGTCACTTCATGTGGTTTGAGAAAGAACTGGATAGTAAGATGTACCAGATCTACCACAAGATTCTCATTTAAGCCTCAACCAGTCTGTGAAACATACACATTTCTAGTTATTTTATGCTCCAATACTATGACTGACCAGAAAGTAAGTACCATGTGTGATTTGTTGATGCATATGTGCAGCTTTAGCCATATGTCTGTGTTTATACTAGGGTTGGGCGATATGGGCCTCAGCATGTATCACGATTTTTGTTGGTATGTATCACGATATGACGATATGATAATTTTAACAAAGCCTCATATAAAAGCTATAAAAACTTAGCACTGATAATTTTAAACACACTTGCCTCAAAGTGCATTTACTGATTTATTGGCAGCAAAATGTGCAATACAGCTATTGTATATAAAACATATTAACAAAACTGAATTGTAGAGAATTCTGTTTTGTACATACTGAAAATTTCAGGCATCAGGTAATAAAGGTGAACATTTGTAATTTGTAAAATATATAAAAGTTTGTCCTTTGTAATATAAAAAGTGTAGCATTATCAAATAATTATTTGATCACTTTGGCTTATGTTTCCTAATCCCAATATAGTCAAAATGATCAAATACTGTATATATTTTTTGTATCCTTTTGCGTTTCTATAATTATGTAATTATAACTTATTTGTAATTATATTGCAATGTAGACAAACACATCCATTGAAGTAAAATTAATGACAGTAAACAGTAAATAAAGCTTACCAATGGCACTGAGAGAGAGCGCGAGTGTCCGAAGCAAGCCACTCGAGTCCAGTTGTTTAGGGCAGCTGCTTTCACATTAGATCCACTGTCGATAGTTACACACAATTGCTTCTTTTTATCTAGTTCCCAAACTACTCCCATATGTTTGAGGTAGCTCCGCGTTTTGGCACAATGTCTTCTACAATCTGCATGTCTTCACCATGGTCTTCACCGCCGCCCTCAGCCATGTTTGCTCTCTGCTCTGTTGTTGTTATCCCTGCACGCCGCTCTGCTACACGTGACGCGCAGATGCGTTATCAAAGTGCGCCGCACACAAACGTGTCTTCCGCTTGCCGTTTTCAGTGTTAAATGATCGTTTTCACCGGTATAAGGCATTTTCTTATCATTTAATTTACTTATACCGGTACAAAAAAAATATCGCCCAACCCTAGTTTATACTTAACAGCCTTTACTCATGTTTTCTTGAGTCTCAGTTTATCATTTTTGATGTGATGTACTTCAAGTAGTTAATGTCAAATGTTTGGTTTTGCTGCTAATTTATAGTTCAAAGTTTGTTCTATTGCTAGTTTATTATTAGTTACATGACGTCTATTATGCATCTGACAATCTGCGTCTTGTGCCAAAATTAAAGGGCATGTCTGTAACTTTTTAGGAGCAACCAATTAAATGCTGTATTTTTTAAATATTGAATTATAGACCCAATTTATAGCTGTTATATGATTATATATATTTGATTATAACCTGTAAATAAGCTACAACAGAAATCTCCCTCCTCTGGACCCTGATTCTCTGACTGGAATCTTTCCGTACTGTAGTCTCCTCAAACCAGAATATTTCCCTGGAGCCTCCACTTCACTGAGAGTGTGTTGTTTTCCTTCATTCAGCTGTGATTTGCACTGATAGACAATAATTAATGCATTTAATCATTCAACAAAAATTAAAGGAACTTGCTCAAATTTACATTTATTTGTGTTTCATGCATAATATCGGTGTATTTGGCCCGCGGCCCACTGGTAATTTTTTACTTTGGCCCTTGGAGGAAAAAGGTTTGGGCACCCCTGCTGTAAAGAAAGTCACTTTTTGTTGTATCTTTAAACTTCACACACTCCATCTTGTTTTGTACCAGTGCTTTGAACATCAAAGGTTGGCAGTGTTGATTTGTCCCCATCAGCAGCTGCAGCAGAAGTATTAGTTTTTGTTGTTTTGTCAGTGAGAAGCCATTACATGAGTCAGCGGCATCACAGTCAGAACAGCTAAAGAGCTGGGAACTCCACAGAGTGTAATGGAGTCATTCACTTAAATGCTTTCCGAACACTTTTGGATAATTATTAGATAAACTGCATGTGCGTTATCATGGCACTTAGGTTAGGGTCAGAGTTATATGTTGAAAAACCCTGTTAACTATCAACTAATAAACAGCGCTCCAGACTGCATTTGGCCCATCAAGAAGATTTGAGCAACATTACATGAGGAGTTAAACCGTAGTCAAATGTATTTCAAAGATACCATATTCATAGACCTTACATAATACAAACAATTAATATATTAATAAAAACTGCCAATTGTTTTTCAGATTAGAATATCTGGGTCCCTCATGATACTATGTCCCTACTATGTCATGACACTATGTCCCATGTAAAGGTTTGTTTATTGTGTATCTATTGCATATGTGGTTATTTTTGTGTATTTAATGTTAACAATATGCAGGGTTTTTGAACAAATTATTACATTGCATTATTATGAGTTTGGATCGTCGTGTTTAGGAGCTGTTATCTGAAAAACATGATTCCAGTTGCGCTTAGATTGAAACAGAAATGGAGGACACGGCTGGGTAAGGTTGACAGATTATTTTTTGCCCTTTGGCTTTAGTCTTTAAAGTAAGATACATTATATTGTTTTCCCGAGAGAATAATCTATAAAATTATGTACATT